TGTGTAACCTATAAAAAACATTAGGCAAGTTATCTCACTTCTCTACACCTTACATAATCTACAAATGAATTCCAAGTTCCCTCCTCTTCTATCATACACTATTACCAGTTGTGAGTTGGAAGCGGTCAGGTAAGTGAATTAATCAAGATTTTTGAGCCACTAGGCTCTGTGGCTATCACCTGCGCCCTTGATCGAGTTGATGCAAAAGGTGCTTGGGAGCATGGGCTGGGGCACACATGCCTGATGGTGAACACTGGAGCATAATTGTGCACTCCTGAGCCTAGAGGCCAGGGATATGGGAGAACAGTTATGAGAGGATGTTTGACTACAGAAGTGGTGAGTCCATGAGAGAATGGCAGAGACAGCCCCAAGAAAGAGTAAAGATTCATGGGGGGAGCAGGAAGGCTCCCTTGCCTCCCAGCCCCAACCCCTGCCTGGCCTGTGCCTGCCTTCTTGCATGCCAGCCTCACTGCCTGGTGAGAGAATATTCCCTTAGAGAGTATTAAAGTCTGTAAAATCCACCAAGGGCTCCTGGACTCATCTTGTCCATCTGTCTGAACCAGTAGTGAACCTGCCCTGTCCTTGCTGGCACTGTAGAAGCACAAGGTTAGTTTTGTGTTATTTTCTTATGAAAGCAGTTAAAAAATGCACCTATTTCCAAGTTGTTAAGCATTATCCTCTTTGGAATCAAATTATCTTTTACTCCTCACTCAATTGCTCTTTACCTCTGGATCAAACATGTCACCCAATGACTCTCAGCTTTAGTTCCACTACTGTGAAATGAATATAGCAATAGTACCAATTTTAGAAGACTTTGTTATATCTACTGGGAAATTAGGTAATCTACCAGCACATGACTCATGATAAAGTCAGTAAGTGTTGCCTATTAACTTTTTATGATCTAACAATCTTAGCAGTGCTTTCTTGCTTGGTTTTGTGAAGATAAATAAAGACCAACCAAATGAGAAAAGCAAAAGCTATTTATTCTGTGTTTGCTATAGAAATGAGTCGCTAGGTTACCATCACTTGAATTTTGGCAGAATCTCAAAGGCAAGCAGACAAGTGAGAAAAATTTTGGTGGAAAAAAAAAGAAGTATTCAGGTATACCCTGATTGGATACTCTTGGAAAGGGGAAGTGAAAGGAGTCTAAACTGGAAGTGAGGTATCCATGGGATTGGTCAGGGCATACATATGTTACTTTCTATGCTTGCTACCGGTCAAAAGCCAGGACAAATATCAAGAAAGTCAAGTACTAGCCACTTTGGGAAGATTGTTGCAGAAGTTATTGTCTAACTTCCTGGATTGTCTAACGTTATAGCATTCTGGTTTTTTGCAAGTGTAACATAACAAGCCGACTGACTTCTTGGGTGATTTATTTTAGATAAGACTCTTGGTTCCTGGTACATTGCTGCAGACTGTGGGTTGAAATTCTGTTTTTATGTATGGTCTAACCAATAGTCTGTATAGTAAGTCTTAGGTTTGTAAGAAAATAGTTAAATTTTAATTCATAGAATTAGGCTTTTTAATATCTTAGAATAATCTAACTGTGAGGACACAATTAATTTGATTTCATGCCTTTAGAGTTTATTCCAACTACCAAGTTGAGATTCTGTTTGGATGATGATAATAGCTAAGCCTTATTAGCAAAGTTGTCAAGAATATTGACTGGAGGAAAAAAAGAATTGTTTTCAGTTTTATCTTTTAATACATTTATTAGACAATATAAAGCAGGCAAACAAAAAACCACGACTACCAATTAGGCCCATCTATTTCCCCTCTGGTAACCTCAGTTCTATTGTCAAAGTTTATTAATTTATTATCATCTTGTTTTAACCATTCATTTTCTTTGTTTTCTTATACTCTGGCATACAGGTGAGAGTGTTTTTAAAAAATATATCAAAGTTTATTTAATTTAGATACTAATACTGTGTTGCTATAAACCTATCTGATCAGCACCTTACAAAGTATATATCATTACTCTTAACCATCTTATCCGTAAAAAAGGCTGGGGCAAATACAAGTTATAGTTACCCTTTTATCTAATCATCATTGCTAATGTTTATTTGCACATTAATCAGACAGATTCTAAAATCCCTGGGCAACTTTATTTTGGAAAGGGACCTTTCCCCTGTATTTTCCCTCCAGAGTTTCCATTTATGGCATCAAAATAGGGGTAACTCCATAAGGATGCTGACACTTTTTACTTGAAAATATATTTTTGTTGTTTTGTTGCCTAACTTTATGTTTTTTTTTAGTTTAAAAAGACTACTTGGTCTCCCCACTTAAAAGAATGTTAAAGTATTGCAAAGTTCTTCTGTATCTTTTGTATTGATTGTTAAATTGCTTCTTCACATGAATCGGTAGAGTCTTAAGAATAATGTACCTAGTTGTGACTTACTTGGAGAGTCTCACTCCTATAGAACATCCACTGCTGGGGGCCTCCTTGGTGGCACAAAGGTTTAAGATTGGCATTATGAAGTTATCCACAGCCGC